CTGTTTTTGTTTTTTTTTTTAAATCATATAAGATCTATAAAATATGTCCTATGGTTGCTGCGTAATTCAGAGACAAGGCTGAGACCTAGTATGACTGAAAGATAGTATTCAAAGCTGGGAGACAAATTGCAAATATTACTGGAAGCCTGACTTGAGCACTTACAATGGAGAGACTGAAATGTCTTTGTAAATGAAATGAATAGTCATGACAGAAAAAAGTATCTGTTCAGTCCATAAAGCCACGGGTCACAACCGAGGTCAATGGAAACACAAGGCAGAGCCAGAAGGTGACAGAGACATTTTCCTTAGCTATTATTGGCCAATATGTCAACATTTCCCAGTGAGGGAGTTTAGAAATCGGTGCCAAAGATCATACTAGCCCTGAACTTTATTAAAAATACACATGCAGTCATGTATGTATTTGCACTGAAATTAAATGTTTAGAAAATTATATTCCCTACCATTAAAGAAAAGTTTTTGTTTTCTTTGTATAGTTCTGAGTCAAAAAGTAACTTTAGGTATTTTAAACTGAGTTGACTGCATAAGGAAAGAACTGAAAAGAGAATTTCAAGCTAGAATAAGTTGTTTTTTAATTGGCAGACTTGGTAAGTAGCATGTCTCTTATTTAAATATTTCTGTCTTAGTCTGCAGAACCTAAGCATCCAGTGCGACCTGGATATCTAACGGAGACACCAAATATCCTCTCCTATCAAACCTGCTTCCTTCACATTCCCATTCCAGCTATTCTATGGAAATTCTTTCTTTCCAGTTGTTCATGCCCAAAATCATTGAGCTGTATTAAATCTTCCTTTCTTTCATACCCCACATCTAAACTGTCAGGAAATCCTGCTGGTTTTTATATTCAAAATATTCCTACTCTCTGATGACTTATTATCTCCACTGCTGCCACCCATGTCAAAGCCACCATCATTTTTCATCTGGCTCATTGCAACAATCTCTTAACTGCGCTTCTCATTCCGTCCTGATTTATTGACAGTTTTGCAATCCCTTAGAACAAAAGCATATAGTAAGTGCTCTATAAATACTGGAAAAGTTAATGAATGAATAAATAGAATGTTTTTATTTGTTGTACCTTATGTAACCATTGGCCCTTGTGGTGTTTCTAAATGCTTCTTCCTTACCACTCAGGTATTACAGCAAATTATCTTTAAAATTTTTCTTAACAGTCATTATGAACAATTTTATACACACAGATGTAAAGTAATGTCTGTATAGTTTGTAGAAAATGGTAAACATTTAGAAAATAAAACCTCACTGGGATCTTTGAAGTTTCTTATTTATTTCTTCATAATTGTATCCTTTTTTTCCCCTCAAAAAGCAAAAATATTCATTGTGCTGAATTTTTGTTTGCTATTCCTAAACTTTTTTTTAATAGTTTAACCATAGACATATGAAAGTCTAAAAAATAAAGTTTGTAAAGTTTACCTCATAGAAATGGAATCATCCTTGGGTCTGGGGTTGTAGCTCAGCGGTAGAGCGCTTGCCTTACACTTGTGAGGTACTGGGTTCGATCCTCAGCACCACATAAGAAATAAATAAATAAAATAAATAAAGATATTATGTCCATCTTTAAAAAGAAAAAAGAATGGAATTATCCTCAAACATTAATCGTTTCCCTGCAAACTTGCCATTTTTTTAATTTACTACCTCTTTGTCCTATAGTATGCAACTTAGTGTATGCAAGATCTTTCCAAAGGATATAATTCCATGGGTTAAAATTGATCTCCTATAAGAAAGTTATAGGTATTCCTTTCACACCTCTTTTAAAATAGCCCTTCTTTCCTTTAAAAAAGAAAGACCATGTGCCAATATTCTGCAGTGCCAAAACCTTCAAACAGTCTACATAGGTGCAGTTGAAACACTGTACTCAAGAAAGTGAATTAACTTTTGTTGATATGAACAGTGAAGAGTCTGAGATGTTACCCTCCTTGACCAATTTTATATATCTCTATCTACATATGTGTGCATGCATGTGTGTTTGTGCACATACCTAAACACACACACACACACACAGAAACACACATGCACCCATACAGGCTGAATCATGAGACAACTTCCATACTAGAAACAGACTTTTAATTATTTCAGAATATCTTGCTTCAGTGCCCCCTGAGAAGACATAATGACTAGAGATGTCACCTGAGCATACAGTAGAGTTTATACCACAGGAGAGAAACTCTGAAATTATAAACCTAAAAGCTTATATATCAGTTGGTACAGTTAACTCTATTGTACTCGGGAGACAGAGACAGAGATTGCTATAGCATGGATGTTAAATGTTCCCCAAAGATTCATGTGGTAAGGACTTCATAGCCAGGATCATGCTGTTGTAGATTGTGAAAACTTAAGAAGGTAGAGCCTTCTGGGAGGTCCCTCCATCATTGCGGCATATCCTAAGGGAAACTATGAGGACTTCAAATTCAAAGTTGTTTTCTGCTAACTGGCTCCTGAGGTGAGTGTTTTGTTCTGCCACATGCTCCTGCCACAAAGGACTGTCTTTCCAGAGGCCCAAAGAAAGGGTTCACCTGATCTTGAACTGAGACCTCTAGAACCATGACCTAAAGAAAACTTTTTTTTCTCTACAGGTTAATTGCCTCAGGAATTTTGTTATATAGCAATGTGAAACAGACTGATATAGTGACCTTTCTTCTAGAACATAGTGATCATGTCACTGTAGTTATTTCTGAATTTACTTTAAAATTTTTTTTAGTTATACATGACAACAGAATATATTTTGACATACATACATGAAGTATAATTTCCCATTCTTGTAGCTATACAGGATGTGGAGTTACACTGGTCATGTACTCATATATAAACATAGAAAAATTATGTCTGATTCATTCTATTGTCTTTCCTATTCCTATACCCCCTCCCTTTCCTTTCTTTAATCCAATGAACTTCTATTCTCCACCCCTCTTATTATGTGTTAGTATCTGCATATCAGAGAGAACATTCAGCCTTTGGTTCTTTGGGATTGGCTTATTTTACTTAGCATGTCTCCAGTTCCATCCATTCATCAGCAAATATGATAATTTCAGTCTTCTATGTGGTTGAGTAATATTCCATTGTGTATATACCACATTTTCTTTATCATCTGTTGAAGGGCACCTAGGTTGGTTCCGCTTAGCTATTCTGATTTGAGCTTCTATAAATATGGATGTGACTGTGTCACTATAGAAATTTTGAGTCCTTTAGGTATATACTGGGTAGTGGAATAACTGGGTCAAATGGTGGTCCCATTCCAAGTTTCCTAAGGAACATCCATGCTGGTTTCCAGAGTGGTTGCACTAATGTGCAGTCTCACCAACAATGTATGAGTGTACCTTTTTCCCCACATCCTCATCAACATTTATTGTTACTTATATTAATTTTTAATTAATTAATTAATTAAAACTAAGTATATAGGACAGTGGAATGCATTTTGGTTCATTGTACACAATTGCTGCACAATTTTTCATTTCCCTGGTTGTACACAATGTAGTGTCACACCATATATGCAGTCATATATGTACCTAGGGTAATGATGTTTATCTCATTCCACCATCTTTCCTGCTCCCATCCCCCATCCACACAGCTCCCTTCCCTTTGCCCAAAGTTCCTCCATTTCCCATCCCCTCTCCCCTTATGGATCAGCATCCACTTATCACAGAGAACATTTGGTGTTTTGGGATTGGCTTACTTTACTTAGCATGATATTCTCCAGCTCCGTCCATTTACCTGCAAATGCCATACTTTTATTTTCTTGCAATGCTGAGTAATATTCCATTGTGTATATATACCACAGTTTTTTATCGGTTCATCTATGAAGGGCATCTAGTTTGGTTTCACAGTTTAGTTATTGTGAATTGAGCTGCTGTAAACAATGATGTGGTTGCGTTACTATAGTATGCTGATTTTAAGTCCTTTGGGTATACACCGAGGAGTGGGATAGCTGGGTCAAATTGTGGTTCCATTCCGAGTTCTAAGGAATCTCCATTCTGCTTTCCATATTGATTGTAGCAATTTTCAGTCCTACCAGCAGTGTATGAGTGTGCCTTTCCCCCACATCCTTACCAACACTTATTGTTGTTTGTATTCTTGATAGCTACCATTCTGACTGGCATGAGATGAGATCTTAGTTTTGATTTGAATTTCTCTAATTACTAAAGATGTTGAACATTTTTTCATTTATTTTTTGGTGGAATGTATATTGTCTTCTATTCAGCTCTTTAGCTCATTTATTTATTGGGTTGTTTGTATTTTTAGTGTTAAGTTTTTTGAGTTCTTTATATATCCTAGAGACTAATGCTCTAGCTCTCATGTGTGTGACAAAAATTTGCTCCCAAAACGTAGACTCTCTCTTCACCTCATTGATTGTTTCTTTTGCAGATAAGAAGCTTTTTAGTTTGAGTCCATCCCATTTATTAAATATTGATTTTATTTCTTTTGATTTATGAGTCTTATTAAGGAAGTTGGAGCCTAATTGAATGTGATGAAGATTTGGGCCTAATTTTTGCTCTGTTAGGCACAGGATCTCTGGTCTAATTCTTAGGTCCTTGATCCACTTTGAGTTGAGTTTTATGCATGGTGAGAGAGAGGAGTTTAATTTCATTTTGTTGCATATGGATTTCCAGTTTTGCCAACACTATTTGTTGAAGAGGCTCTCATTTCTCCAATGTATATATTTTTGGCACCTTTGTCTAGTATGAGATAACTGTATTTATGTGGGTTTTTCTCTGTGTCTTCTATTCTGTACCATTGGTTTACATGTCTATTTTGGTGCCAATATCATCCTGCTTTTTTTTTTTTTGTTACTATAGCTTTGTAGTATAGTTTAAGGTCTGGTATTGCCTCCTGCTTTCCTCTTCTTGCTAAGGATTACTTTGGCTCTTCTGGGTCTCTTATTTTTCCAAATGAATTTCATGATTGCTTTTTCTATTTCTATAAGGAATGATGTTGGAATTTTAATTTTAATTTTATTGCATCTGTTTAGCACTAAAAATATGGAATGCTTCACAAATTTGCATGTCATCCTTGTGCGGGGCCATGCTAATCTTCTCTGTGTCATTTTAATTTTAGTATATGTGCTGCTGAAGTGAGCAGTGAATTTACTTGTGTATCACCTTGATCTACATTAATCTTCGTGAGCTTGAGGTTGGGACATTTATTTTGGTATCTCCAGGGCCTGGCGCAATATCTGGTTGACAGTATGCATACAGTAAATATTTTGTTAAAGGAATATGTACAGCAAGAGTAGAAATTACACTTCACTGAAATAGTTTGGAAGTTAGAGAGGAGTCCCAGAAGAGATGGCAGTTATATTGGACTTAGAATGAAAATTATGAGTGAGTAATAGGATGTTCATGGGTAGAATACATTCCAGAGAGGGGCACAAACAATTGAAATTTCTTTCCTGAAAAATAGCTACACTGTATAAGAAATTAAAATGATAAATTTGTCTTTCACCTCCATTTTTTATTCTACTTATGTTTTGGAAGTAATATTGAGAGAGAAGAAGCCACAATAATGGCAAGTAGGTCAAATTCTGTTCCATTTTTGTCCAGATCCAAAGAACGCATTCCATGAAATCTTGTTCTTTCATCCTTTTGTCTTAAAAACAAAAAAGGAGAGAGAGAGAGAGAGAGAGAGAGAGAGAGAGAGAGAGAGAGAGAGAAGAAGAAGAAGAAGAAGAAGAAGAAGAAGAGGAGGAGGAGGAGGAGGAGGAGGAGGAGAGATCCATGCTATGGTTCATCTAGATGAATCTTTAAGAGAACCTCACATGAAGATGGATTGTTTTTTATAAATAAATTTTATTGACATCATAGGTTCAGTAGTAGGTACTAAATAATGAATCAAAAGCTCAAAAGCCTTAATAATAGCATAACAACCACCAGCTGAACCAGAAAGTTATTAAAATGGCATCATGCTCACATCTCCAATTAGTTTACCTACATATGTGATCAATTAAGTTAGATCCTCAAATTAAATCCCAATTATGTTTGTTTACTTCTCTTTAAGAGATATTCAGTAAAGTCCAACTGGAAAATCAGACATTCATTTTTTCCTTAGGCGCTTTGGCAACATTTTAATTAGAAAAAAGTTTAGTTACTTGATAAAAATAATTAAAATGTCCATAAAAATCTACTTATTTTTGCCATTCTTTAAGCTCTTTTCAGGCATCTAGAAGACACCATACATGAAAAAGTGGTCTAAGCTTGCTTATGTGACTTTTAATATCAAAACTTTATTATTTAGTTCCCCAAGTCCCTATAGAATAAGCTTCTAGTATTTTAGTGAAAAAATAGACATGCCAGAAATTGTGCCAAGTATAGATGTATACAAACTTGTGAAAAAGCAAATGCTCTGTACCAATACTGAGGATTCTTTATCAGCTATCTGTATTCTCTTTTTTTATGAACATTTTAGTTATGCTAAAATAAATTTAAGGAAAAAAGAAGTAAAAAGGCAGCTATAATTAAACTGATAGAATACACTAACACTTAATAAAAGTGTGACTAGATATTCTCACAGTACTGTAACCAGGAATCATATCGAGAAGGGCCCTATTGTCTGACCTCACAGTTTGGGGAGTCAAAAGCCCCTGAATTTTCCTGACTTTGGAATCTCACAGCAATATCACTGTACTAGCTCAGCAGGCAGCAGCTCTGAGAGTCAGGTCAGAATAGCTGAGGGACTGTGAAACAAACTTCCTGAGATTTCTGTGTGGTGGGAAACTGGACTACAGTGTGTGGGAGAATGCAAGGTGTTTCCCTTTGGAATTTGTGGTTCACTGGGCCAGCTACTGGCGTCCGTGGAATGAGCAGTCATGAGTGACTGCATGTTGAAGCCATGGCTGGGAACACCCGTATTGTGGGATCACATGGAACCCACTGTTGCCCACCCCCTCAACCCCCCACAGATCTTTGAGACTTTATAGCCTCTCTCTGCCCTTAGGGACATATGGGGTTACACTGCTCAACTGATGCTACCCCAGACCTCTGAGTGTGTAGCACAAAATCTCTGGGAAGAATCTTTGGAAGTTCTGCATTTGACCCTAGCTCCTTGGACATGCTATAGCATCAGTGTCTCCCCAGCTCTCTCTGTGTGTAGCCCAAATAGTTTGGAGAGAATGTCTATCTGGGGAGTTCTCCATTCAACCCTAGCTCATTCCAGTGTACAAAGCATCTGAAAGGTATTCCAACTGCCTACAGCCACAAATCATCCCTGCTAATCACCCCATGAGTACCACAAAAGAATATAGATGAGGGTGAATAACAAACACCTTGAATTTTCTCTGTCTGAGGGGTACACAGCCTAAAAGACATGGAGAGAAGCTTTGATAGTTACAGGTCAGAAATATGCATTCTTGCCTATTCATTCTAGCACCTTAATGGAGAGAAGATTTTTACTTTTTCGGAATGTTTATGTTGTTGTTGTTACTATTTTGTGTTTGCTTTTTTCCTTTTCTCTTTTTTAGAAATATTGAATCTCTCTTCTTTCTTTTCTTCTTTTTTTTCCTATTTCACTTTTCCCTTGTTTTCCTTTTTATTCTCATTTTATTTTTTATTTTTCCCATTTTTTTGCTTTTATCCAGTTTTGCTTTTTCCTTTTCTAAAATTATTTTTTAATCTTTCATTTATTTTACTTATTATTTATTTCATTTTATTTTACATTGTTTTCCCCCTTTATTTTATGTTGTCTGTGGTATTGCTATCACTATTATTTTTATTTGGTTATATTTTTATTTCTCTATTCATTTCTTTTTCTTTTCTTGAATTCTTTCTTTGCAGTGCTGGGGATTGAGCCTGACCCTTCATGCCCAGTTTGAAGGTGATCTGCCACTGTACTCTATTCCCAGACCACCTGAGAGGAGTTTCAGTTGGCCTCAGTCAGGATCTAGTTCTGCTTGAACCTTGGCTTATACATCAACTTAAAAACAGAGGGATAGAGGTCTCTAGTGATAACCCATGTCAAAGTAGGCACAGCTGGGAAGGAATTTGAAATCCCATTCCTGGACACTCACCCTATAGCAATAGCAAAGAGAAATAGCACAACTACTGGGAGAAACCACATTAGGGAGTTTATCTCACCCAGGTCAGAAAGGTGAAGTTTTGTGTGTGTGTGTGTGTGTAATATTTTTAAAAAGCTGGCAAAGGATGTGAAGAAAAAGGATTCTTATACAATGTTGGTAGGACTGTAAGCTAATCCATCCACTATGGAAAACAGTATGGAATTTCCTCAGAAAAGTTAGAACTTCCATGTGATCTAGCTATTCCAGCTATGAAACTCCTGGTTATATAACTGAAGGAAATGAAAATAACAAACAAAAGAGATGCTTGCACACTCATATTTATATTCACAACAGTGAAGTTCTGGAACCAGCCCAGGTGTGCGTCAATAAATAATTGGATAAAGAAAATACGGTGTATGTATGTATGTATTGTGTGTGTGTATGTATGTATGTATGTATGTATATATATATATATATATATATAATTATATTTATAAGCTTACTATACTGAATATATATATATATACACACACACACTATACTGAAAAAAAATATATATATATTTCTCCCCCACCCCCAGTGGAGTGTTACTCAGTCATAAAGAGAAACAAAATCCTGTCATTTTCAGGGAAATGAATGGAACTGGAGGGCAACATGTTAAGTGAAATAAGCTAGACACAAGAAGACACATATCACATATTTTCTCTTATGCGTGGAAACTTAAAGGGGTGGGGGAGAAGGAGGGAGGGTGAAAGTGAACTGAAAGTAGAATTATTAGGGAATAAGAAAAAACAGGGAGAGAAAGAGCGGGTAGAGGGAAGGTGGGCCTTATCATGGCAATTTATGTGTGTATATAAATGTTCCAGTGAAATCCATGACTTGTACAATTAATATTTCAATAATTATAATAAAATAAATTTAAAAATGCAATCACAAATAAAGTGTCCAATAATATAAAAGAGTATGTAGTCTCAGATTCAAATGTAAATTATAAAACTTATGCAACTCTTGTATGCCTTATTAACAATTAATATTAACTCACTAAATACATTATTCTTTTATTCAATAAACATTAAAAACCCATTATGTGCCCTGCACTTTTGTATTTTCTGTGTATAAAACCCTTGATAGAAGCTTTCAGGAATGAGAACACACGTGACACATTTCTTTCATTAAGGAATCTTCCAATATAGGGTACATATGGCAAAAGCATGCAAAAACTATATTCCTAGACAGAAATGGATTTGTCATAAGAGATACACTCCTATTTCTTCTTATTATTACAGAGAATCTGTGTGGGAAGTTTATTCTCACAAGGATAGTCAGAGACTGAGAATCCATTATACAGAATGCGATCATTTCTGTCACACCCCAATAGCAAGGAGTCAAGGGGCCATGGGAAAGAAGGGGAAACACCAAGGTCATGGACACCTACTCCAAGAACTTTCTCACAGAACTAATTCAAACAGCCTGCCCTATCTTTAAGACTACTTGTACTTAGCAACTGTTAAGAAAACTGCAAACAGAGACCTTAAGATTTATATTAACTGCTGCTATTCATCATTCAGAGATTGCCAGATTGTAAACACAGAAAATGCCAATAAACTTGTCTTCAAAATAACTTGCATAGATTTCTTTGTCCTTATAAAACTCCCAACCTTTTCTTTGTTCTCTGGACAAAGTAGACACCAGTGGCTTATGCATACATGTCTTCAATTACAATCTTGTTCTTTATTCTCAAGTAAAATTTCCTTTATTAGGAATTAATCTTTATATTTTAGCTTGATTTTGACATGACTTATGATATACATATTGTTGAGTTATAGCTGACATCATTTTTCACATGAATGAACCAGAAACACTTCGAAGTTAAACAAACAAACAAACAACAACAACAACAAAACCAAGCCTGACGCAGTGGTGCACACCTGTAATTCCAGCAGCTCAGGAGGGTGGGACAGGAGAATTGCAAGTTCAAAGACAGCCTCAGCAAATTCAGGTATTAAGCAACTCAGTGAGACCCTGTCTTTTTGAGTTGCTCAATGACTTGTCATCTAAAGGATAAAGTTCCACCCCTTCACATTCTGTGTAA